ACTTTGCAGACGTACTTCCAGAGCAACTTTTCGAATTTGGTAGCACGTGAGTAAAATCTTGCGAATAAGTATTGCGGAATGCCTTCGGATTGGCCTACAGTCCACTAGGCAAGGGAGTAATAGAGTTTCGAGTGCTTTGAAACCATCTTCTGATCATTCTCACACAGATTTCTCGCCATCCTAGGTTTCAAATAACCGAGTACCTCTCAAAGGAGAGTAAATCTTCTACTTTACAACGCTTTCCTCCGATTTTCAAAGCAATTGCCATTGAATGAAGACCTACTGCGTTCCAAAGAGATGGGAACTCGTTATGTAAATTTCATTTCCTCGACAATTCCTCGACGTCTCCCACTCTCGAAAATAGGTGCGCTTAATAAAACGCTCAGCACAATTCAAAAACTAGAAGTTGTGCGCATTCAAAAGCTGCCTTCACTTTTTGAAATGGTTATCAATGAAGAAAGTTATAGTCCTTGAATAGGACATTTACCACCTTTTCCAACTACGCGCTCTAGCACACGCGCGACGCGATCGCGGGTAGTTAGCGCCGCTATACTGGAGCGCGAGACTGTTCAACTGTGTAGGGGCAGTACCTCCTTCAATGTTCTACTTTCCGGCCAATGTGGCAAAGGTTAAATGTCTTTAAAGGAAAGAAGGAGAACCTAATCTGAGCAGAATTGAATCTAGCATTTGGATCAAGCCGCATTTGCGTGGCAGCGGCGCTGCGTCCCTCTCGCACATCTGAAACTAGCATTTTTTGATATGAAACCGGATGTGCAGAGGACAAAAAGGGGTCGTATCAGAGTCCATGTTTTGGAGGGGGGTCGTAAAGAGGCGGTTATTTCCTCGACACGATTTTCACCCTGCACGCCAGGGTCAACGTCCGTTGGACAAAGTCCAACGAGGGGGGTCGTATTCGGCCGACGAAAAGGGGGGGGGGTCGTATTCGCAAGGTCGGAGGCAGCGTCAATCCTACACCAACGGGGGGTCGTAGTGTGACGCTTTACGCTTTGTGAGTGCTAAGAAAAAAATTTGCGTTTCACTGTTGATATATACCCCGCTCGACGGCTATTTTGGAGGAAATGTGGGTGGAGTTGGGCTGTGTCAACTGGTCTCAGAATCAAATACTATAGTAACAGCTGATGGTAGGAGGAGGGGTCGTATCGAGGCCCTCCAGAAGGAAGATCGTAAAATTTTTGAAAATTGTCCAACGTGACGGTTGACCCTGTGCCACACCCATTACGTTCATTTCCGTGCATGCCCAACTGCTTCCCGTTTACTTGGGTTCGTTCTATAGACCATGCCGCAACATAATCACAAACGACGTGGCTGAGAATGGTTATATCTGCTGCAGTTTGGCAGAGATTTTTCAGGCCTGTGTCAGCTGGTCTCGGAATCAAATACTACGTAACAGCTCTGATGGTGGGGGGGGGGGGTCGTATCGACTTCTGTTCACTTCATCCCTCGTTTTCTCCTCATTACAAGAACACGTAGATAAAACAAAAGAGCAATACAAATAAGTACAAACTATTTGAATGGCCAAATATGTGTTTCTACTGAAACAACCTCGTCCAGGGCGATTTTGAAACCACTTCAGCGAAGGTAAACTTGCCTTTCCGTTGCCGTAACGCGCCTTTTTGGTCGAAATCTACTACAGTGACCCTGTTGGTTAAACACATAGAACATTATACAGGGTGGGGCAAAATTACTGGTGCACCTATACGTTTTGAATTTTTTAACACTTCTTGGAGATTTTCCTGTTTCACTCGCTTGTGATATGTTGCCTGGAGGTTGCGTAATTCCTACGTACTCGAATACAAAATGGTCCGTCGTTCTGACCTACGGAGCGCGATCATCAAACTTCACAACGACGGCAAGCAAACAAGAGAAATTGTGAAGATCCTTTCCGTACCTCGAAGGACGGGACGGTTCAGAATACAGTACGACGCTATAAAGAACTGAAGACCGAAGAGGACAGGGAAGGAAGAGGACGTCCCACAACAGCTACGAGTCGGAGAAATGTGAGGCTCGTCAGAGAAAGAATTCGAAGGAACGCCAGGAGATCGATGCGCCAGATGGCGAAAGACGTTGGAGTAAGCGCGAGGTCAATGAGGAGGATTGTCAGAAGTAAGCTAAGGAAGTTCCCCTATCGCTTGCAGAAATGCCAACTCCTGACGGACATTATGAAGAAAAGGAGATTGGAGAGATGCAAGAAGTTGCTGCAGCGATTCACGGTGGCACGCGCCCGAGACATCGTTTTCAGTGATGAAAAGATTTTTACTCTGAATCCAGCCTTCAACTCCCAAAATGAGAGGATTATTGCAGGATCACTTGCTGATGCTACCACCAAGGCAAGACTCCAGGAAAGAGCGAAACACCCCCAGTCCATTCTTGTTTGGGGAGGAGTCACCTCTACGGGGAAGACCCCACTTGTTTTCGTTGAAGCTGGTGTAAAAATCAACGCAGAGGTTTACAAAAATATCCTGGAGGAAGTTCTCAAGCCGTGGGCCAACTCCCATTTCGGAGAAGCCTACTGGTGCTTCCAGCAGGATTCTGCTCCAGCACACAAAGCAAAGATGGTCCAGGAGTGGTGCGCCGAGCACCTGCCCGACTTCATCAGACACGACGAATGGCCCTCCAGTTCTCCTGATCTAAACCCGATGGATTACTCTGTGTGGTCCATCTTGGAGAGCAAAGCGTGTTCTACCAGACATCCAAACTTGGACTCTCTTAAGGCGGCGCTTTCAAAATCTTGGGACGAAATCGATGACCAGTACCTGCGTGCCACATGCGAAGCATTTGTCGAACGTCTGAAGGACTGTGTGAAGGCTAAAGGAGATCATTTTGAGAAGCATTAACATTTTTTGTATTGTCATGTTTGTAGTAAATAATATTGATAATTAGAATTGATTTGTGAGAATTATTGTCAAAATGCCATTGAAAATTTAGTGCACCAGTAATTTTGCCCCACCCTGTAGAAAAAAACTTGTTCGACACTTCGAGTTCTGGGGCAGCGTTTAGGCCCTCGGAAATCCGCGATGTGAGCGGGTGATGGTTTTAGCCGCGCCGCAAAAAAGCGCTTTCTAAACGTGCCTCGGGCGAAGTCGTCGACGTGGCTAGAAGCGGGCGCCCAGCGCCAGAAAGTGTGAGAAAGGGGCTGGAGATCTAGCGAAGCAGGAAGGCTAAAATCTAATGCTGAGAAGGGCTTGCACCAAGATTGGCGAAGTTAGAACCAGGAGTTCATGTTGTGTCATTCGATATCGCAGGAGAACTTTTCGGATGGGCGCGCCGTGAGTGCTATGCAAGGAAAATACAAAAAAAAAAAAAAAATAAAAAAAAACAGAAAAAAAAAAAAAACAACTGGTAAAGGAATACCAGGGTAAAGCATGCGGAGTTGGTCAGTCCTCCTCTGACAATGGGATGCGCCTTGCATCCAATCCTCATTAGGAATATCCAAACTGCGTGAATGCTCTGTCCTCCTGTGCTGTTTCCTGCGCAAATGGCCTCTCAGAGCTGTTCTGGCACGCTCCGATTCCTGTCAAGCGGCGACTGACTCACCACCCTCAGCCCCTACGCCACCTATAACTTGCTAGGCTTTTAGACATTTACCCTTACTGTTTTTTTTTTTACTGTTTGGGGCTATGCTCGCAAGAGAGACGGACATTTGGTGGAGAGTTCGTGCTTGGCCTACGCATAATCCCATTTTGCGCTGCAGGAAGAAAGTCATGGGCGGAGTGGTTAAGCCTTTTCGGCTTTTCGGGCTTCAGTCATCGGCACCCGAGAGCTTCGCTTCCCGACCTGCAAATGTATTATTGGTGCAGGCGGCACCGCAACAGTGGCAGCCAACGTGGAGCCGTAAACTCTGGCGGCTTTTCGCTCTCGCGATGGCGCCCCGCTTGGAATAACTTTCGGCGGCCCCATTCGAGATCGCGCATTTCCTGTTTTGAACTTCGCGCGTCACGCGGTAAACCAGCGCGTTCAAACGACTTACGAATTATTTTCTGCTTTGTTTGTGGATCACAGTATAAGTTACGCGATTGTTTATTCATTGGTTTTTGTTTAGAACACATACAAAGAGGAGTGGAGTGTCATGTTTGTTATGTAATGTTCAGAAGAGGTGCGGTCAGTCGGTCGCTGAGTTGTGGACCTTACGTTGCTTTATACAGAAACCAGGGTTGTTGCATGTTTACTATTTACTTTTGTTGAATTTTGCTTGTCACCGTAGTTTATTCAGCAATATATCCAATCCATAATTGTTCATAACGTGCTTCAATAGTTGTAACACAAAACATTGGAACATTCAAGAAGCAATAACAAACAAAAAACAAATAAACAAATTTTTGAATAAATATGTAAACAAGTAAAATGTGAAGCAGTGGTGAGGGCGAATAAACAAAAACATTTTGTTTATTTGTCCTCACTCTATTACCGTCAGTTTATCCCCTGCCAAATATAATATATCTGTGTTGTTTTTCAATGAAACGCTTTCCTCGTACCCAGAAAGCGGAAAATCTACCTATTCGTCATCGCTCGCGGTTCTAGACGGTCGCAAGGGATTCTTTATAATACTGAGATTAATGTAAATAGATTTTATCCAAGGCAATAAAATTTTCTCCTCAAGCGTGGCTTAATTGGTATCATACTTGTCTGGGGAATAAAACGTATGTTTTGAAATGGTCTCGTAATCAACTTGCAGATGTTGGCCATATCCAAATACGACTACCATTATTAGTGATGTAGAAGGCGATGCGCATCCCAGAATTCCGTAAGGCGCAAAAGCTTTGCCCTGCTAAAGTTAGGTATGGTGTGGTAGGTGAGGGTTGAAAGAGTGAGCATGACGTTTATTGAGAAGCTGCCGCTACACGTCCTTGCGCAGCATTCGCTCTTTTACTGTTCAAAAACCAGTAGTTGTGAAAACTGCTGTGTATCCTTTTCTCAGAACTTCTCGTTGAGGATTCGTTTACTGGTCTTATGACAAAGGCCAACAGCTTTTTTTTTAAGAAATGGCGTCTCCTGTAAAAGTAACTCCCGCGCAGTATCGCAAATATGGTGTGAATGGTACACTTCGGCTTTCTACTGGTTTCTTCCAGGTATTTTAATATTATAAGGTTCAGAACAATAAGTTATTATTATCGTTTGCGCATGTACTTTCAGCGTTATTTCGAAAGTGACGGTACGACGACAGAAGTGCCGATCCTCCAAGTTTCGGTTAGTTTTCTCATTCGCTCCTAATGGTTATGACAGAGTTGTTCATTAAAATTTTACAGCTAGCCAGGAAGCTGGTAGAAGGGATGGCAGGATGGCCTGATTCTTGTCTAAGGTTACGCTTGACTGATGGTGCATTTCATTATTCTGGTACGTAGCAGTCGCTTTTTTCTATTCTATTTACTAGTAAGGCTGGTGTCAGAGTCCGCGATCCGTCGCAGGTTTCGCTGATTTTCGCGATTTGCGCGATTTGCGATTTGCGCGAAACCTGCGACGGATCGCAAAAATTGCAAGTGCCCCATTTGAACATTTGAAACACTGAATATGAAACAAGTGGAATCATGAGAAGTCGTCATACATTCATGCGATTCACGCGACGGTCACGGAATTCACAAGTGTCCGATCAAGACGCCAAGTGTTCTCGCCACCACTTCTGCTTGATAGTGATGGCTGAGGCCGGACGCATAGTCGGTCGGACGACAGCAACGACTGCAAGTGTCGCACAGCATTGGGTGCGTATCGATCTGCGACACATGCGACACTTACGACCGCTGCTGTCGGACGACAGCAACGACGCAAGTGTCGCAGATCAATACGCAGCTACTATTCCACACTACAGTGGGACTTTCGAAATACGATCACGCGCAGTCACGTGTTGTCTGGGTTAGCATTGGGTGACCGCGTCGCCTTCCATTTGCAACCGCGGTTTATGCGACACTTGCGGTCGTTGCTGTCGTCCGACCGACTATGCGTCCGGCCTGAATGACGACTGCTCATGATTAACTTCGTTTCGTAATTCAGTCTCTGTTCAAATGGGGACTCAATGTTAGGGTGTCGGGTCGCATCCGCTTTCGCGATTGCGCGATTCACGCGACGGGTCACGGAAATCACAAGTGCCCGATCAATACTGCAAGGTGTTCTCCAATCCTGCCGCCACTTCTGCTTGATAGTGATGGCTGAATGACGACTGCTCATGATTCCACTTGTTTCATATTCAGTGTTTCAAATGTTCATGGGACACTTGCAATTTTTGCGATCCGTCGTAGTTGCGATCTGTTGTAGGTCTCGCGCAAATCGCCTGAATCGCTTGAATCACGACGGATCGCGGACTCTGACATTAGCTGTGAGGCCAGTTCTGTTTTTCTGTCGCTCATGGCAGTGGAGGAGAATATGGTCGGACGACAGAAGACTGCTGCTGTGGAAGACAGGACGACCGCAGGTGTCGCATAAACCGCGGTCGCAAATGGAAGGCGACGCGGTCACCCAATGCAAACCCAGACAACACGTGACTGCGCGTGATCGTATTTCGAAAGTCCCACTGTAGTGTGGAATAGTAGCTGCGTATTGATCTGCGACACTTGCAGTCGTTGCTGTCGTCCGACCGACTATGCGTCCGGCCAGTGAAATTGTGGTTCGTAATAACTTCGTATAGTTCGCGCCGGCATTTTGTGAAGCGTTTCTGATTTTCTGGCGATCTTAAATATCACATTAAAGCGGAACTCCATGATTCTTATGTCAGGGTGAGTTTCATTTTCGCATATCCAATTCCCTACGCCCAACTTTTATCAACTTGTTCAACTTCGTTCATGCTATTTTGTATTGCAGAAATGAGAGATCACTCGATATCACCCAAACAGAACGCTACTGGTAAAAACTGTACACAGTGTACAGCAGGGTATCAAACTATGACAACAATTACAACAATTTGACGTTCGTTGTGAACAGTCGAGAACGATCAGTTGAACGAAAGGTTAATGGAATGTTTCGAATGCCTTCGGGCTTTGAGGAAGAAAGGGCGCAGAATCATGGTTCGATGTAGAGATTAAGCAGTTCTTCTATGGTTCCAAGGCATTTTCATTTTATTTCAGGACTTTTCGTGGTTAGCAGCCTGGAGAGCCAGTGTGACCGGGACAATTTGGTAGGTAACGCTGAGAATGGTGGTGAAATAATCGCGGTCACTAAAATGTACATCAATCCTACAGGGAGCGTGGGAAAGAGATAAGCGCAAGGGTAACGTTATCTCTTTGGGTGTGGTGGTGGGGGAGTTGGTGAAGTTCTAGCCTGTAGAAAATCAATTAGTCTATATCAGCATATTTATTTCCAGTAAACCCATGTTAATGATTGCTGGGTATGAATTACTTTCAAGAGGGCATCCGATACTATCACCGGGTGTAAGCCATGATGAGACAAGGTCAGTGTCAGTTTGGTAGTGCATTTGGTTCATTTCTGATAATCACTAGAAAATCAAATAGTGCTAGGTTAAGTCACGAAAATGTAAAAGGTGAACGCTGCGAAGTTCACCAGGCCGGCAGTTTGAGCCGCTGTCGCCTGTTATATCAGGCTATAATATTAGGCTGAGCAATCGTATCGCGTTTCTTCAGCACATGGTATTATGATTATCGGCTTATTATATTAAAGCTATGATTTAGTTTGAACTCGCGCAATCTCTTGTACCATTTTGATTTCAAGTGCTGGTTTTGTACATCCACTGGTGCGATTCCACATAGCAAAAATGTGCCCTGTACTGATTGCAAGTTGAAAACAATACTTTTGCATCTGCTCGAGACGATGAGCTTGAATGACGACACAGTTGCAGAGAGGACTGTTCGGGAGCGTTTGTTGATAACGCACGTATTTTTTATTTTGTTAATAACCTTGTCAGTGAAATGGGAACGGCCGATAATATTGCTCAACCTAATATTAGAACAACGAGAATGATTCTCCAACAGGGCTCATTTTCATCCATTTCTGTTTGAAATGTCGTAATTTTTGATGCGAATGAGGTGAATTATAAGACAAGTTCCAGTTCAGCCCACGAAATATACTTTCTGTCATGGAATATCAAATTGGTGATGTCTGGCAGGTACTGCACGTAGTGAGCGATTGCACAGTTTGCATTTGGTATGCACTTTGTATAGTAAAATTAATATTTGATGTGGCACATCTTTATACATACCTTTAGAAGTTGTCTCAACGGATGAGGCATGTAGACATGATTGGGTGGGATTAGTACCGCGCTGGTATACATATGTGGCGGGCGTGACAGTAGCCTAGGGCTTACAAAGTGCGCTAGTGTGACAATCAACGTCAGCGTGGATAAGACCGTGGTGGCTATTTACCCTTTGGAGACCGCGGTGTTTTACGTTCGGCGCGCGGATGTTCGTTGAAATTGTTAGGGTGCTTATAGCAATTCAGAGAAGAACCACTGCGTAAGGACAGAAAAACTTATGGATAAACTGAAAAGAAATAGGAAACCTAATACTTGTTTTGCGATGCGAGCTGAAAGGTCCTACGCGGTCGGAGGTCTGCAGCCCACATATGGGCTGCATGGGCTCCAAGGTGTTAAATATGCACGTTGTATTGGGGCTATGGAGCGAACAAGTTCAGGCAACTCGCCCGGACACCCCCTCCCTCCTATCAGGAGGAAAGGGAATTTTTCCAAGCCTTCATCTTCGTTTGCATTGCCTATCTTTCGTCATCCGCTGTTACCACCCCACTTTGATCTAGGGTTGTTGCTTGAAGATAGAATAGAATATAGTGCTAAAGTCCATGATCGACCTATTTTCAGTCTTGGCTAATTTATTAGGTGATTAGTAGTTATGGCCAAAAAGAATTAGATAACTTTGGGCTATCTTAGTGCTCACCCCTCGCTGAGCTTATCATGCCGAGACAAGCTCAATAAGATTTGTCATATGATCGAGTTTAGCTAAACTTCATAGTTCTAGCTTGGACGGTATGAATAATATTTCAGAATAATGCAAGATCAATACGCAGCTACTATTCCACACTACAGTGGGACTTTCGAAATACGATCACGCGCAGTCACGTGTTGTCTGGGTTAGCATTGGGTGACCGCGTCGCCTTCCATTTGCAACCGCGGTTTATGCGACACTTGCGGTCGTTGCTGCTGTCGTCCCGACCGACTATGCGTCGGCTGGCGCCGACGGGTGTGGGTACTTAGGACAGAACGCGACTTTTTCGCTCTTCGCAACGCGACATCGCGCGGCAGGCTGGCGCACCCGTAGCGAAAACAACTACGGTATATAAGAACGCGCGATTGGAGCAGCTTTTTTGCATGCGTGAATTTGTAAGTTTCTGATTCCTTACTTGCCCGCGCTCACACCCATTGTATTGATAAATGCGGTGAATCACTAATTCTGTCTCATTATTGAAAACGTTTTGTGACTTACACGATTCCGGGCGATGCCACTAAAATGGTGTTTTACGAATTATCGGTGAACGAGGGTTTAATAGGGCCGCTTGTGCTTGCATTTTGTGGGTTCATATTGTTGTATAGACTTCTGCATAAGGGTATAACATCTTTTACGAAACGCTTCTGTCCTCATTACGGATATGATACTCATTTTGGACGCTGGCGCCATTTGGGGCCAGGTGGCGCCACAACTGTTTCCCACTAAATTCGTTTTAAACTTTTGTATAGGGGTTATTCGGGGTCCTGATTTGTTCTTAGCGCTATTCGGCGCCTGCATCCTGCTCGTCTGCGCCCTCGCACTAATTAGATCGCAGTAGGACTAAGCCTTTGAGTAGTGTAGGGCTCCAAAAGTGGTCCAGTTCCTCTGTGGGTGGGGGGTACCAAAAAACAGCCCATCCTTTTGCACACGCTGCTGGTTTACCGCACTGCCGGATTCACTCGACCCTCCCCTATGCGTTAGTGCGTAGTCTCTATAGGGTGAGCCCAAGCTTAGAAAAGCAGAAAGTATGCGTTAAACAGCACGAATGTGAAAAATGAGTGTCATATTCATGATCAGGGCCCCAAATAACCCCTATGCAGAAGTTTACAGTCGTCTCATCAAACGTCCATCAACCATTCCTCTTCCAGGTTCTCCAGAAGCTCTACCATCCATCTCTGCAAAAATAACCTACCTCCCTCTTCACTGCTAGTTAGCGGTCCACTTCTGGTTACCATTTCCTCGTTCATTATCAAATCCATGGCTATTAAGCTTCAAAACTCCTTGTCGCAATCAAAGCCGACACAAATATCGCGCTCCAATCGCGCGTTCTTATATACCGTAGTTGTTTTCGCTACGGGTGCGCCAGCCTGCCGCGCGATGTCGCGTTGCGAAGAGCGAAAAAGTCGCGTTCTGTCCTAAGTACCCACACCCAGATGACCACTGCTCACTGATTTCACATTGTTTCGTATTTAGTGCTTCAAATGTTCAAATGGGGCACTTGCAATGTTAGGCTGGTGTCAGAGTCCGCGACCCGCTCTTCGCGATTTGCGCGATTTGCGCGATTCACGCGACGGGTCACGGAAATCACAAGTGCCCGATCAATACTGCAAGGTGTTCTAACAATCCTGCCGCCACTTCTGCTTGATAGTGATGGCTGAATGACGACTGCTCATGATTCCACTTGTTTCATATTCAGTGCTTTCCAATGTTCATACGGGACCGGTCAAATGTTTTTCGATCGCGATCCGTAGCTGCGCATCTGTTCGGACGGGTTCGCGCAAAATCGGCCCTTAATCGGGCTTGAATTCCCGCACGGATGCCGACTCTGACATCAGCGTGGGGCAGTTCGGGTAATCTGTCGCTCCATGGCAGGATTGAGTCGCCATCTTGGTAGAATCATGCTAGTCGCGACAGAGCATTCTGTGAAAGCGTTTGCTGATCCTTCGTGGCATCTAGATCATCAGCATTAAGCGAAACCATATTTTATGTCAGGGGTCGTAGTTTCATGTTTCACACTCAATTACCCTACCAACTTTTTGATCCAACTTGTTCAACTTCGTTCATATATTTTGTATTGCAAATGAAGAGATCTCGATATTCAACCAAACAGAACCGCTATTGGTAAAAAAACTGGTAACCACAACAGCAGGATATCAAACTATGACAACAATTAACAAACAATGACGTTCGTGTGAACGCGAGAAACCGACAATCTTGAAGACGTAAAGTCAATGGAAGATTCGCAAATGCCTTCGGGCTTTGAGGAAGAAAGGGCTCAGAATCACGGTTTCGATGTAGAGATTAAGCAGTTTCTATGGTTTCTCAAGGCATTTTCATTTTATTTCAGGACTTTTCGTGGTTAGCAGCCTGGAGAGCCAGTGTGACCGGGACAATTTGGTAGGTAACGCTGAGAATGGTGGTGAAATAATCGGCGGTCACTAAAATGTACATCAATCCTACAGGGAGCGTGGGGAAAAGAGATAATGCGCAAGGGTAACGTTATTCTTATTTCTCAGTTTGTGAAGTTCTACTATGCATAGAAAATCACATTTAGTCTATATCAACATATTTATTTCCAGTAAACCCATGTTAATGATTGCTGGGTACGAATTACTTTCAAGAGGGCATCCGATACTATCACCAGGTGTAAGCCATGATGGAGACAAGGTCAGTGTCAGTTTGGTAGTGCATTTGGTTCATTTCTGATAATCACTAGAAAATCAAATAGTGCTAGGTTAAGTCACGAAAATGTAAAAGGTGAACGCTGCGAAGTTCACCAGGCCGGCAGTTTGAGCCGCTGTCGCCTGTTATATCAGGCTATAATATTAGGCTGAGCAATGCGTTATCCGCCGTCTGTCCTTCAAAGAAACATGTTCTTTGTTTTTCGCTCATTATTCAAAGGCTATGATGTGCTGAAATCGCGGCAAGTCTTCTTGTACCATTTTGATATTCATCGCTGTGTTTGTATACACTGTCAGCTTCCCCCCTACCAAAGATGTTGCCCGGCTGCTGTAGCCATAGTGCAAGTTGAGCCAAACAAATACTTTTGCAATCTGCTTGCGTAGAAAGAAAGAACGCTGGAATGAAGACACCGTTGCAGAAGAGGACGTTCGGCGCGCTTTGTTGACGAACGCAGACCGTATCCTTTTTGATTTGTTAATAACCTTGTCAGTGAAATGAGAAGGGCCGATAATATTGCTCAACCTAATATCAGAACAGCGAGTATGATTCTCCAACAGGGCTCATTTTCAACCCTTTCTGTCTTGAAATGTGGTCGTATTTTTTGATTGAGAATGACTGATTTATTAAGGGACAGTCTCGGAGAGCAGTTTCAAAGGCCCACAGAAATATACTCTGTCCATGGTATAATCCAAGTTGGCGATGCCTGCAGGACTGCCCGTCAGAGTGAAGATATTGCCAGCTTCATTTGGTATGCACTTCTCATATTATGTAAACTTTAAGTGATCTTATGTTAGCTGCTCATTCTTTTTACATCCTTTTAGAAATTTAGAAAGTTGTACTCAAAGCGATGAGGCATGTAGAACATTTTTTGGGTGGGATAAGCCCGCTGGTATCACATGTGTGGCCGCGGCCAGTGGCACTAGGCCTCTACAGAGTGCGCTAGTTGCGCAGCACAATGTACACCTATTCCTCAAAACCCCGCAACGGGATTAAACGTAGTGGCTATTTAAATAGCACGGTTTAATTGGGGCCTATGGAACGGACATAGTTCAGGCAACTCGCCAGACACTCACCGCTCCCTCCTATCAAGCGAAAGAAATGGCCGTTTTTTTTTTCCAAATCTTCATCTTGAGTTGCATTGCTACACCTTCGTCATCCGCAATTTTATTGTCGACCGCTGTTGCCACACCACTTTGATCTGGGCTTAATGCTTGAAAATAGAATAGAATATAGTGCTAAAGTCCGTGATCGACCTATTTTCAGTCTTGGCTAGTTTGTTTAGTTGATTAGATAGTTGTAACCGTCCAAGATTAGATAACTTCACTAGGCTATCCTTTCGGCTTCTACGCCCTTGTTGGAGCCTTGATCAGTCGCCGAGACGCAAGGGCGATCATCCTCAAAAGACCTGGCTCGTGTGAATCCGAAACGTTAGCCAAATATACATAGTTATCTATGATTGGACGGCTATGACTAAATATTTATCAGAATAATGCAAACAGCGGATTCCATTATTGGTCTTTTCAGAGGTCGCACGTCCTTCAGCACCGCGCCGACAACCGCAGAGTTTTGGATCCGGCAACGTAACACCTATAGCCATGATCACCCCATATATAAGCAAATGGCGAATCTGCGGTCTGTGTACTGCTAAAGATGAACTAAAAACAACGAAAGCTCGAAGTGGTGCTGGCGATATGAAGGTATTTGTGTGGTATTCGTGAATTTATTCCAAGAATTCATTTCACTAATGCGTCAACGTTTTCAAATTGGGCAGGCGGGCACTCGACCCCGTAACTTGGACAGCTCAGTCAAGAAAGTAGGTGCTTTCATCAAGTTCAAATCCATTTATTATAGGTGTTCAGTTTCGAGATAACAGACAAAGACGGTGCTTCAATTCGTATAACCGGCTTCAACGATGCGGCAGAGAGGGCCTATAGTATCATCCAAACCGACTGCGTACGTCTGCTGCATTTTTGATCTTTCAAGGCAGCAGAAATTGTCAAATCTAATATTTTATTTAGTCGTATTATATATCTGGAGGTACAGTGAAACAAGCGAATAAGCGCTTCAATACAACTGGCCATGATTATGAACTTTCCATGAATGCCACTACTGAGGTGAGGGCGTACTATATTTTTTCTTGGTACTTAAATTATTTCATTTATAACTACTTGCACTAAAGCTTCCAGTCAATTCTTGACGTTATAAGGTTTGCTTAGCCATCTTTTCCATCATAATGATGCAGATTGCGCCGTGTCATGACCAAATTCCAAAGCCGGCGTTGGTGCTGAAGATTTGCCCTCTTCAAAATATACCAAGTCATAAGGACGAATTTGTCGATGTGTTAGCTGTGGTCGACAAGATGGATCCTGTTAATAAGGTAGCTCTCTTAATGAAAGTGACTATGGCTGCCTATGAAAATTTTGTTTTCAGTTCATTTCGAGACAAGGAAGGGAGTGCGTAAAGCGTGATATTCAACTAATCGATCAAACTGGGACCGTTGTACAGCTCACGCTTTGGGGAGAACACGCTGAGAACTTTGAAGATCATGCACTAGGACAGGTCATTTCAATAAAAGGAGCGCTAGTGAAAGAATGGAACGGTATGTTCAATGTACCTGTTTTCAGTGTTTTCTTGATTTGCTTTGTTTTCTATTGCCCCACTTGTTTAGGAGCGTTCAGCATTGGAATTTCATCCGGATCAAAAATCGAGTTGAGCCCTCAGCTTGATGAGGTCCCGAAGCTTTATGAATGGTATACAACTGAACGCGCGTCAGTCGATACAAAAACTATAAGCATGACAGCCTCCGGAGGAAGTGATGCATTTGGTATGAATGTCGTTTTACAAAGCCTTCGTTGTTCAAATGTATTTGCACTAACAGGACGTGATCTGCGTTTCATTGGCACCGCTACTGCTTTACAACTGGGAAATGAAGCAGCTCTCGCGAATGGCCGTTACATGAATTTGAAGGCGATGGTCACAACAGTGAAGACCGACAATGCCTTGTATCAGGTTCGTTCAGTGGAAGTTCAGCTGCAGAGAGTTTCTGAGTGAAGTGTTTCGAATGCCGGCTTCTCTACGAGGAAATTTATCTTAGCATTCTTTTCACTCCACGATTATAAGTGTACTTTTTGATTTTCAGAGTTGCTCTAACGAGGGATGTTCAAAGAAAGTTGTTCAATTGGGTGTCGATCAGTATAGGTGTGAGAAGTGTGACACCACAAGTGATTCATTCCGATGGAGCTACATGGTTCAAGTAAGGAATTGGCCATAGGCTTTCGCAATTTCTTATATGCTTTTTGAGTTGAAGGTCTATTGAGGAATTTTGCATCTCACCTTTGGTCAAAGTTTCACGGGCGTTGTCATATTTTGAAGGCACATTCCCTGATGACACGATATAGGAGGTGGTATTTAAATGAGAGACTGTATGTTTATGGTGTGCAATGTATAAAGAAACAACGGAATCGCGACACAGACAAGAGGCAGGGGCGGAGATTAGTGTTCGTGGCTCGATGCCGCCATTGATGAGCCTGGTACTGCTGCAGTTATGCCATTATCACCTTTCTCCAAATATATTAGCAGATATCATGCGATTATAGCGAAACATTTTCTTGAGAATTGAAGCAAGAATTGCTGTCACTTCTCAAGAATATGCTTTTGGACCATACGCTGACTCT